ATTCTTTTGTTTTTGTTGATTAAATCCTCTTTATGTTGTTGCAAATCTTTGGTTCATTTCCAGAGTTCTAGAAATGAGAGTTAGCATTCTCATTATTTTTATGAAGGAGCAGGTTTTTGGAGGTCCTTACTCTGACATTCTGGAAGGGTTTCTCCAGAGCACACTTTTAACCACTATACAAGTGGTTCCAAATTGGGGGCCTGCTACAGCCCTTGAGGGTTTTACACCTTGTAGGAATATTTTGGTGTTTAATATTATCTTCCTGACCTATATATGCTGAAATATATATTATTGCAAGTATTTTTTTTAATTTCCTTATTTCTTCTGTACATTCCAGGGCATTATATTGATCTTTTAGGAACTGTGTATAGAAATCCATGGACTTCATATCAGTGTAGTAAAGGGGGATTACAAAACGTTTGTTCTGAAACTAGGAAGGGACATTACTTCTTGAAGGTTGACGGTCACAGCACTGCACTCTCCTCTCATTCCTTCTGTGCACCTACCCTCGTCCTGCAGCTGTAATGTCTCCAAAGGGTGCCCGCAGGCCCTGTGCCACTCCAGTCCCATTTAAGAGCGAACAAAGAGGGAGTTTGGGAGAGAAAAAATCACAGGCCATTACAAATACCTCTCAGGAAATTAGAATGAAAAAGAAAGGGGAAACCATCTGATAAGCCACATAGAAAACACTAGGTATTTTTCACAATAAGACAAATGTCGTGTTTGGGTTAATCATACATTTAGCTTAAGAGAGTCATCCTATACACTGATCAAAGGTTACCAGTTTTCAAAAAATTAAAAACTAAGAAAATGTGTACCAACTAAGCTATACTGAATGTAACTTAACTTCTTTTGATGATTAATAAGACCTCTAGACAAACTTTATATAGATAAGAGCTTTTAGAATTTTTACTCATAAACAGATTTATAACACAAAATAGTAATTTTGGCACCTACTGAGACTCCTGGTTGTATTTTTTTTAACTCCCTTCAATATTTATGGATAAACTGGGCCAGAATTTATTATAGAAAGCTTTTTATACATTAGAGTTATTCTCAAAATCCAATCTTTTCTTCATTTTTAGCAAGAATACCAATTGATAGTTTGCTGTGCCAGAGAGGGAGGTAAAGGGGTTCGGGGTCCTATTTTCAAAGTAAATCCAGCAGAAGGAACCCAGCAGAGATACAGAGGGTCTTCTGCTAAGCAGTGATGTCAAACGTGGCCCATATGGGTGGGTGGCATCCACTTCCTGAACATTCCAGAGGTTCCATTTTGGTCTCTTTCATTTTCTGTCACCACAATTTAAAAAAAAAAAAAGGATCATCAAAAGAAGGGAAGCTATCAAAAGAGGAGAAGAAATAAATTTACATGACTATCCCCTAATTTTCTAAAACTCATTGTTAATAAAACTGCTGTAAAATTACCTTCACAAATATTCAGAAATCGGTATCTAGAACCTTAAGAGAGGGGGAAAGGCTGTCCCTGAAGGACTTAGGGAAACACACTCCCAGAAAACACTATAAACAGAATCAAACTTGTTAGGTGTTGGCGCACTGTCTATGTACCTGAGCACAGCTGGGCTGGTGTGTGTCCAGGCTGGCCTGGTAGGACTGTACCAGCATTTAGACCGTACCAGCATTCTGATGGGTTGCAGCTTCCAGTTGGTTTATATCTGTCTCTGAGAAGTTATTAATTACTTTAATTATCACTCCTACTATAAATGCACCTCATTTATAGTTTCATTTGGGGAGTTACAGCATACCCCCAAGCCCATGCCATCTTCAACCCCTTTAATGGGGCCCTCTCAGGCTGCGTCCAGCTGCTTCAACTGTGACTTCTCAATGAACATCACAGGATCCCTTCCCTGCACAGAACAATTACTTCTCTTTTTTCTTGATGGGTGTTGGTTTCTGCAGGGAGGACTGGCGTGGTCTCCACCTGATTGGACCTCTGGCCTTTGCCTGACGTGGCCCAAAGAAACTCCAAATGCCCCTTCCTGGTTTCAGCACTCCAACAGCCCCTAACAACGAGCAGCTGCATTCTGAAGTAGTGTGGTGCCCCCAGCTCCCAGCTCCATAAAAGATTCCTCCAGCACGCCTCCCTTCCTCTGAATAATTCCTTTCTATGTTCTTGCTTCATCACTTTTCCTAACTGACAAGGTTTCTCTTGGCCCAAGCTTTCCTTTCCACTTTGGAAAGTCTTATCAGACAAACCTCAGGGTCCATCAACTTGTCCCTGCTTCTTTCTCACAACTCCCACCCCATCCAATCCCCATCATTATTGGAATCCTCAAAGCTCAACAATTCCAGGGTGTGCTGTCATTTTTGTCACCAAGATCATTGCCTGTATTAGGCGTGTATCAGCAGGGATGTAGAAATGGGGCTGTGTCCATCTGCTACAAACACAAATATTCTTCATGATAGACAAGTGCCTTCTTCCCACCCCTGCCATTTTTTAGAGAAAAGAATCCAAATACTTGGTTGACACTTGAAGTCGGCCCAAGACTTCTCTTCCAGGGCTTTCTCTCAGTTTTCTTTGTGCTCTCCCTTGAGCCCTAACAGAGCTGCAGAAACAAAAGTTACAACCCCATGTTTCTTTCCTCCCTTTTAGGGAAGAAAACCTGTTTGGATAGACTGCAGACGAGATGGTCTTGTGGAATGTGTAAGCAGTTCGCCAAGCTAAAGGCAGTAAAGGGCTCCTTGACTAAACTACCCACGCTGTTTTCTTTAAGCGTGTAGCACACAGAGCCCTGATGCCCGTCTTGGTCTCAGCTGTGTTCTCTGCCCACTTGCCCACCATCCCGTGGTCTCTTGCCACTCCGGATGTGACCTTAGCCAGCTGTTAGAACAGGGGAGATTCGGAACTATGCTCTTCCTTCTTTAACGAAAAACAGTCCTCTTAATGTTTAGGGAGGGGGAGGATAAATTAGTATGTGTTTATTATATAAACTTCAAACACTGCAGGAAAAAAGCATAAAAATAAGACTTCCTAAGGTACACAGAGCATTTTCAACATTTTGTTAAAACAACACAAATTTATTATCAAACAGTCTCTGTAGGTGAACAGTTTGGGCACAGGTTCACTGGGTCCTCTGCTTAGGGTCTCAAATAATGGCAGGCAAAGTGGTAGCTGGGACTGCGGTCCTATCTGATGCTCAGGGCCCTTCTTCCAAGCTCAGTCTCCCATCATCACCCATCTTCCACAAATACAGATTCACACACTTGCCCAAGTATAAAGCCCAGATATTTAACTTGGGATAAAAATCTCACGATCTCATCCTTACCAAAAGCATAACTCAGCATTTAAAAGCATGACGCTCCATCACTAGCCGTGTGACCTCAGGCAAGACTCTTAACCTCTCTGGGCTTCGGTTTCCTCCCTTGAGAATGGGGAGAAGTGACAACAGCGCCTTTCCCACGGGGCGCTGGGGCTACCAGGTGCGTGCACGCGCAGGAGGGCTGCAGAGCCGGGCACGCAGCAAGTGCTGTGCTGTCTGTCAGCCTGGAGGTTTCCCTGCCCGAGCTCACCTGCCAACCCTCTTGTCCCACGCACACAAATATGCACACGTACGACCCCCCCAGCCCCGACAAACAGCAGGCGCCACACACCCCATACTGGCTACTTCTTGTCTCCACAGGTTTGTGCTCCCTCCTTCCGTTGACCCGGGAAGCTCCCATTTACTTTTCAGGACTCGGCTCAAATACCACGTCTGCTGTGAGGCCTTGCCTCCTGCCCTGAGGGCTTCCCCGCTGAGACCCCGCTGCACCCTAAATGAATTTTGGGGTCACTTCATTCAATCAATCAATTTGATTGGGGTCATTCGATCAATCAATTGAATATCACATCAGTTATTTCTAGAAGTCAGAGTTACCATGTTTGAGCACGTTCTAAGTGATTTACTTCTGTTACCTCGTTCGAGCCTCACAGCAGACGCTTGGAACGTTTCAACAGTTGGTCTGTGTGCTCGGCGTTCCTCTTTGACTGTGGGGCTCCTTATGGGCAAGAGCCTATGTCTCGGTGCATAATGGGCTCATCATTAAACGGACACCTAACTGAGCCAATCAGAGATGAGCTGAGCTCAGAGAGAGATGGAACACACACGAACTGCTGACTTTGAAGGACGCTGAGGGAAAGGATTGAGGAAGCTGGACCCGAAATTCATCAGCACAATAAACAAAGCCTGCTGTAACGCCCTCACGCCACCATTAAATCATTATTGCTACATGAATATTGTCTACAGTGCGGACAGGTTAATGTGCTGTCATTTGTTTCTGTAATGTCATATAATTTCAGGTCTTTCCAAGGACGCAGTGTTACAATTCATAATGATATTTTATCCCATGCTCTTGCTTCAGGGGTCATATACTAAGTCTGAAAAGTTTTGCACGACCCTCAGCCCAGTGGTCGCCCACCTTTGGCAAAGGGTAAAGAGACACTCACCCTGACATCCCTTTCTTCTTGTTGGACACCCAGTGGAAATTTGACACAAATCACAGGCGATGAAAGTCAGGAGTTAATGTTAGGGTTTCTATGGCAATGGTCTAAGCCCCAAAACACAAGCATTTCCTTGTTTAATTGTTACCAAGGGATATGCTTTTTATAAATCTGGTATGAATACAAATATAAAAGGAAATCAAAAATACATGTACTTTGGCTTTAATTAACTTTTCTTCCTTGCCAGATTCCTTGAACCCATAGTAAATTCTGTTTCATTAGGCAGCAGACAACGGTTAAGATCAAAATTGTTTAATGCATAGATCAGAATATCTCTGGGTGGCCAGGAAGCTGATATTAGTGGGGGGAGAGTAACGTCCAGCCATGTGAGTGCCCCGCCAGGGGTGCCAAGCAAACTGAAGTCTAGGGCCCTGGTGTATCTCCGGGAGGTTTCAATTTAGCTTAACCTGTTTCAGTAATTCAGAGATAGCATCGCCACTTTTTGATTTCTTGGAGCGTTGCCTGTGATGGGAAGCTTAATCCCACTGGGGCGGTGTTTTCTCAGGAACTACCACTGCTGGAATGAAGCCTGGATGACGAGGCCCGATCTTCCCGTCGGATTCGGAGGCTGGCAAGTCGTGGACAGCACCCCTCAGGAAAACAGCGATGGTAAGACCACATCCTCCCTCGGGGAAGCTGTCGCACTGCTGGGGTGTTTTTTGCACTCATGACTGCGCTCGGTGTGTGGGCAACACTCCCTCCCAGTGGGAGCCGCCATCAGCAGTGTGCTTTCTGGGCACATAGACAGTATTAACTACCTGCCGGTCAGGTTTAATTTCATTTCAATGGCCGGCTTTACTCTGATTATTTTATAACGTTTAGCGGGGGGTGCAAAGCATAAAACTTAACATATGTATTTCATCAACTCTTGCTTTGATAAGCAGTTTTAAAGACAAGAGAAGAAGTCGCTGTGTAAGCGCTTTTCCTAGGCTATAAAACAGACTCCAGCCCTCCCTGATACACGGTGATAAGTTATAAGGCAGTAGAAAAAATAAAGAACTCCAAAAATAATTGCAGATCATCCTTTAAATTGTTGTTTCTCCAGAACCTGATTTCTTTTTATGTTGTGTGACTTCTTTCCAAACTTGAGGATGTGGGTCCTTGTCTTCTAATTGGTCAATTATGCTAATTTAGTGGCAGCTGTGACCCCCCTACTTGACCTAGATTTTTATAAAATCACATCATAAGCCTCCATTTCCCTTGAAAATGATGACAAAAAACAGTGGTCTGGGATGTTGTTTTCACTTCCCCAGGTGTTGATATTAGACAGTGATGTATGTGTATGTGTATGTACACAAACACTCATCATACACGTTTAAAATCCTTGCGGTACTGGATTTTAAGAGAGAAAGTTCAGCGCTTTCTGGTGCTCTCGGTTATACATCATGATGAGATATCTGGGTGACTAACAGCAGCTAATTTCTTATCAACAAGAGCTAGCTGGCTAAAATTCAAAGGAGTGTATAAAAGCCAGTCTGGGCTGCTGACTTCCTGACAGCATGTGGGGCATTGGTCCGTGTGTGTGGCCAACGTCCAGATTCTCTAGTTAAACTTGACACATGTCCATGATGTCCAAAAAGAAAAACAAAAAATGGAAACAAACAACATGGGTGCTGAGGACACATCATCCAGCGTTCCAGACACCGGTTGCAACAGCGTACGTAAGCCAGGGGCTTGGCGCCGACACACCTGAGTGTGTTTGTAGCTGGAATTGCAGGTGCAGGATGAGTACTGCCCTATATTCTTTTCACGGCTTCAAAGTTTGGTTTGCAGAAGCATTTCCCACAAATCCCTCTTGACGGGATGCATAGCACACGGGTGAGTCACCCGCTCTGCCGTGGAAAGCACTTGGGGCGACATCACTGACGAACCTGAGGAAGACTTGTCTCCACAGAGCCACCTCGGGGCTGTGACCTCTGTCCAGACCAGTTCGGTATCTGGACAGAACTGTAGACGACAGACTCACATTCTCCCTCCTCTGTGTGCTGCAGGGATGTACCGGTGCGGCCCAGCCTCGGTTCAAGCCATTAAGCACGGTCACGTTTGCTTCCAGTACGACGCGCCCTTCGTCTTCGCAGAGGTAAGTGGGAAGCCGGCGGGGGCGGGGTGGGGTGGGGGGCTCTGCTTTCCCCTCCAGCCTCCCAACACGTCAGAGAAAGGGGTGCTGGGCTGTTCCTTCTGAATTTCCCATGTGCATTGTGTACGCCTCGTGTTTGCAAAGGCATCATTCGAACCTCCAGGTGCTGAATGCTAAGTGCAGTTCTTAATATTTTTCTTTCCTTGATGTCTGGAGATTTTCCCACCTGAAAGCAGTGGCTTTATTAACCTTAGCTTTGTTCTCTGCACCCATGAAGTAGGTATCAACTGTTCTCAAGAAATTAAGTGACTAAATGAATCATGCAACTAAAAGTTGGTGGGGACGGTCCTCAAATTGAAATTCCAAAGTGCAGCGCTTCACTCTGAGACTAGCCCAGCAACTCACGGAAAGCAAAACCCAAACACACCACAACTGTGGCCTTAGTCTGGGGACAGCAATCCGTTTCCTGCCGTTCCAGGCCGCCCTCCACCTGCGGGGACCAGAGCCGAGCTCCCAGACTGAGGAGGGGAGGCAAAGGGCCGGAACACAAGGCACTTAATGCACGGAGGGGGACCCTTTGGGGAAGGGCCTGAAATTCCAGAAGAACTGAGCCGGGCTGGAAGCAGAGAAGGCAGATAAGGGGAGCTCCAAAGAGAGCCCCGAGAATCAAATTAAATGGAAGAGGTATCAGGCAAAGCGGAAGGCGGGGGGGGGGGGCGGCTGAGGGGGGGGTGAGGAGCAGAGAAATACGAGAGGCTGAGAGCAGAGCTTCCCCAGAGTATAGTTTTACCAATAAACACAATGAAACACTGTCCCCCATTTGTTGAGTTCTTACTGTGGAATCACTTGACCTGCCCTTTGATGCTCTTAGTAACCCTTTAAAATCGGTATTATCATTCTTCCCATTTTACAGGGGAAAAAAGTGAGGCAAAGAGTGGTTAAATCACCTGTCCACAGTCATCTAACCAGTAAACAGTAGCGCTAAGACTGCAAGTCAGGCAGGCGCCCGAGCCCCCACTGGTGACCGCCACCCGCTGCCGCTGTCCTGGACTGAGTCAATGCCTGTTGTTCGTGTGTGTCAGGCACTGTGGGAATTCGGACGCCTGTGTCCTTGAGAAGCTTGATTCTTGATGCGGGGTGGGGGCATGTAAACACATCAACATTTAAATAACAATAACGCAAGTGATGCTGTGAAGCCAATGGTCAGAGGAGCAATGTGGGTGATAACTGACCTGCGCTTGTACATACAGACGTGATCGTTGAGAAACATGGGCTGGGAACTGAGGTAGGACAGCGGAGCTCACAGGGCCCTCTAGGGGGAGAGGGTGACCTGGGAACAGGCAGGACACCTGAGTGGTAGGCACAGGATGAGCGGAGCCGTCGCGGGGGCGCGTGGAAGGAGGGCCAGTCTGCTCCCGGGAGGGACCAGAGCCTGGACTGAGTCTTGAGGAGTAATTAGCAGTTATTCAGGCAAAGGGTTGTAGGAAAGAAGCCATTTGAGGCAGAGGAGAAACCTTGAGCCTCGAATGGTGTGTGTACACAGCGAAAAATAACGCAGGCTCGTGAAAACTGATGTGTCGGGAGGCATCCAGTGATGGCGGAGCTAGGCATGGGACGTTCTGCCCTGAGGCGGGGACACCGCCTCCTGTAAATGAGAGGCTGGGCACAGGGAAGGGGCGGGGCCGGGCGCGCAGCCTCGAGGGGAAGGCCGCCCGGTGGGAGGCGCTGGCGCGGAGACTCCACCCCCGGAACAGACAGAGGGCAATAGGTGGAGACGGAGGAGGCAGAACTGGGAAATGTTTAGGAAATAAAATCAGCGTAAATGTCTAGGCAGCAAAAGCAGGAATGTGGAGCACACAAAGCGAACAACGTCCCTGCCACCTTCACAGCTTCTGGAAGCCTTGGGGGAGCAGGCGGACGAGTTGGGAATTTCACCTGCTCAGGTTCACGGTGGGACTTAAAGATTTATCCGCACCTCCCAGCTGCCAGCTGATGGTTTCCGGTGCTATTAGGGCTTCTTCTTACTGGGAAATCCCTCCAGAAGTGACCAAGCCCTGCTTTGCAGTCTCGTTATGCTTTGTTGCTGCAAAGGGGAGCGGGCGCGCCTCCCCCCAGGAGCAGCTTGCCCCTTGCTGTTCATGGGGGCGCCTTTTGCTGCCATTAGATACAGATCGGGTGCCAGGAACTTCATGCAGACTTGCAGGTTGTAATCACTCCTCCCTCAGCCGCCGCCGCCGCCTGCCGGCTGCGCGGTTTGTCGCTCTGGCCCGGGCTGGG